AAGTTAGAATTACTCTAATTCATGTTCTGACGAAACATCAAACTTCTCGCCTTCCCGCTCATTTCTGACATCCCGAAATTTTCCGCTTTTAAATCAGCCCCCCCCGGAGCTTTAAAACAGGTTGATATGTTTTCCTTAGATGGAGAGTGCCTTAGAAAAACGCAAATGTGCCGAATTAGCCCTGTGCGCCTTCAACTGGTCAATCGATGCCGGAATATCAGCGCTACACATGGTGTGGTGTCGCCATGAGGAATAATCATTGGTACAGCGTGACAGCCGCAATTTATGTCAATGAGTGCACCCGTAACGGAGAAGCTGTACAGCGCTGGTTTGCCAATCATTTACGAAATGCGAGAAGGAACGTACGTATTAAATTCAGCGGTGTCCTGACGTCGTGCCACATTGACGCCGGCCAACGCGAACGAAACTCGAAAATCGACATTTCGAACTCGGCGAGTCCTCATTGTTTGTCAATTAACTAGAGGTTGGAATTTAGCGCTGGGATGCTGTAGAAAGTGTGCAAGTACGACGCCGCATCATAAGCTCCGTAAAACAGATATTACAACAATATTACGATTTATGGTGGTGTGCTGTGAGGGACGAACGATTGTAGACTTTCGTTTGCATTCTTTCCTCTACGAGCAATCTCTGATGCCCCAGATGACGAATGACAACAGCAATAACAAGAAATGTGGCTGATTGTGTCAGAACGTCGAATCTCGTCTCGCTTTTTGACCCAGCCAGATGTATCAGCTTGTGTTTAAGGGCCTAACTGCACGACTCGCCGCTTTGAAGCTAACATTTAACATCAGACAGAAAAATATCCTTCAGCCACACCTGCGGTCCCTTAGCAGTGTCTTTAAAACAGCAGTGAAAATGTTACTCCCTGAAGTTAAACAATTGCTGTCGCTGTCACGCTGATATAAGTCTAAGTTTAAGCACCGCACCGAAGGTACCGGCACGAGTGTATGACATGGAGACATGTGGGCCATGAAAATGCCATACCCGTAACTTCCAGCATTGAGACCATGCTTCACTACTTGTATACGAGAGACGGCATTTAACAGTCACTAGAGGATCAAGAGGTGTTGAGTTCGAACCTCGGTCGGGATGGAGTCACGCATTCTTCTTTCTGAGGCTGACACATGAGTGCTACTCTGTGCAAAAGAAGCAGGAGACTGCACACTGTGTTTGCAACAGTAGCTGTCGACTCTTGGGCACTCCTGACGAACGGTATAGAAGTGGAGATCAGCGCGCTACCGCTACCAAAGGGCACCAGAATTACAGCGTGCATTCCAACAGTTACAAATTTCGCTTATTTTACTTTTTTCCTACATGTTGTTCGCTTCATCATTCGATGAGGTCAATAACTTATTTGAGTGCATGGTCATCAGTAAATCACGAATAATGTCGTCTATTTTCGGAATGTCATTTTTCAATACACGCTAAAATTATAAATCTCACTTTTTCTCAATACAAATCGCTTTGGCGTGAGATAAGATACTCCATTATTTTATTCCGACGTTTCGGAAGCCATCATCAGGAAAATTTTGCACAATCTGTGAATTCGTTGGGAAAACTTTCCCGATAATCGTTTCTGTGCCGGAAGCTAAGACGTTGGAATAAAGTAATAGAGTATTCCATGTCGCGCCTAAGGAAATTTCCAATAAGAAAATAGTTTCTGAAAAGGATAAAATAGAAATTTGATTTTTTCCAAAAATCTAAAATCTATAACGCGAGCTTGAAATATTTTCCGTGATACAGCCGTGCAGAATCGTGCGCGAAACAGCTGCGGAGTAAATGCCAATCATGCATGTTCCTCAGTTTTGTCACCTTAACAACGTTGAACAAGGTTGGGTGAAACGGCGAGGACATTTCAGTGGTCAAAAGGTCCGTAAGTATTGCATCGCTGTGTGCGATGTACAATT